TTAAAAGTAATAGTAACCATAACAAAATCTCTTTTAAATTAATTTCTTTTAAATTAGTCAGCAGGAAATGAAAGGATTTATTTTCATGAGAGGCAAAGCAAATGAAGTTCATGTAATTATATACCAAAGTCTCATCTGTCAGATTGTCATTATGTGGTGGCTTGTTGCTGCAGTGATGCTTACAGCAATGCCACTGGTATTTGAAATACCAGCAGGGTGTCCCATAATGAAAAGGTTTCAGTGGAGCTTTCAGACTCAGACAAACTAGGAAGAAGGAAGTGTAGACTATTTTTAAATATTTTGTGTCTGAAAACCTTTTGAATACCAGCAGAACACTGTCACATTGAAAGCCCATCAAGTCGGAATGCACTCAAAGAACAACTGGGAAACAGATGCCTCCTCAAAGCAGAGCTGACCGTGATGACAGGAATAGAGAAAAGCCCGGGGGACCTTCATTTGCTGATGGGACACAACTCAAAAGGAGGAGAAACAGCTGCAAACATCCAAAAATAATCAGAATACAGAATGTACAAAGTATGAATCTAGGAAGATTGGAACTTGTAAAAAAATGAAATGAAACACATAAAGATTGATACCTGGGGCATTAATGAGCTAAAATGGACTGGTACTAGCCATTTTGAATCTGTCAATCACATGTTTAATATGCCAGAAATAACAAATTTAAGAGGAATGGTGACATATTCAGCATCAAAAAGAATATTTCAAGGTCTATCTTGAAGTACAATGTTATTTGTGATAGATAATATCCACAATTCTATAAGGAAGACCAATTAATGCCACTATTATTAAAATTTATGCACCAACCACTAAAGCCAGTGGTGATCAAAATAAAGAACTCTACTAGATTCTTCAGTTTGAACTTGATCAAACAAGCCATCAGTATGTATTGATAATTACTGGTGGCTCGAATGCAAAGGTTGGAAACAAAACACGAAGTATCCCTAATTGAAAAATGTAGCCTTGGTATGAGAAACAATGCTGGAGCTCTCATGAGAGAATTTTGCAAGACCAATGATTTATTCATTGCAAATACCTTTTTGAAACAATATATACATGGACTTCACGAGATGGAATACACAGAAATCAACTACATGTGTGGGAAAAGAGGGTGGAAAAGCTCAATATCATCATCCAAAACAAGGCCAGCGGCTGACTGTGGAATATACCATCAAGTATTCATATGTAAGTTCCGTCTGAAGCAGAAGAAAATTAAGACAACTCCATGAGAGCCAAAATATGACCTTGAACATATCCCACCTGAATTTAGAGACCATCTCAAGAGCGGGTTTGATTCATTAGACACCAATGACTCAGAAGTGTTGTGGGATAATATCAAGAACATTACACGGGAGGAAAATGAAAAAGACAGGAAAGAAAGAAAACACGAAAATGGATGTCAAAAGAGACTGAAACTTGCACTCCAGAGTAAAGATGCTAAAGCAAATGGAAGTAATGAGAAAGTAAAAGGGCTAAACAAAAAATTTCAAGAGCATCTCAAGAAGACAAAGTAAAGTATCATAATGAAATGTGTAAAGACCTGGAGTTAGAAAACCAAAGGGAAGAACACACTCAGATTTTCTAAAGCTAAATGAACTGAAGAAAAATTCAAGCCTCAAGTGTCAATATTGAATGATCCTATGGGCAGAATATTAAATAAAACAGAAAGCATCAAATGAAGATGCAAGGCATACACAGAATCACTGTACAAAAACCCAAAACAAAACTGATCTATGTTCAACAATTTCAAAAAGGTAGCATATGACCAAGAACCAATGATACTAAAGGAAGAAGTCCAAACTTCACTGAAGGTATTAGTGAAACACAAGGCTCCAAGAATTGATAAAATACAAATTGAAATGTTTCAGCAAACTGATGCAGTGCTGGAGGTTCTCACTCAGCTTTGCCAAGAAATTTGGAAGACAGCAAAACAGCCAACTGATGGGAAGAGATCCATATTTGTGCCCATTCCAAAAGAGAGGTAACCCAACAAATGGCAAAACTCATGCAATAATATAATTAATATCACATGCAAGTAACATTTTGCTGAAGGCAATTTCAAAATGACTGTAACAGTCCATCAACAAAGAACCGCCAGAACTTCAAACCAGATTCAGAAAAAAAGTAGAACTAAGGCTAAAATTGCTGACCTTAGATGGATCTTGGCTAAAAGCAGAGAATGCTTTATTGACTATGTGAAAGCTTTTGACTGTGTAGATCATTATAAACTATGGATAACATTGCAAAGAATGGGTATTCCAGAACAGTAAATTGTACTCATGAGTAACTTGTACATATACCAAGAGGCAGTCGTTTGAACAAAAGAGGATACTGAATGGTTTAAAATTAGGAAAGGTGTGCATCAGGGTTGTATTCTTTCATCATACTTATTCAATCTGTATGTTTAGCAAATAATCTGAGAAACTGGATTATATGAAGAACCTGGCATCAGGATTGGAAGAAGACTCATTAACAACATGTGATATACAGATGATACAAACTTGCTTGCTGAAAGCCAAGTGGACTTAAAATACATACTGATGAAGATCAGCAATCACAGTTTTCAGTATGGATTCAACATCCATGTAAAGAAAACAAAAATCCTCACAAAAGGATCAGTAAATAACATCATGATAAATGGAGAAAAGATTGAAGTTGTCAAAAACGTCATTTTTCTGGGAATCACTATCAACACTCATGTAAGGAGCAGTTAAGAAATCAAACAATGCCTAGCATTAAGCAAATATGAGGAACAAGACCTCTTTAAAATGCTCAAGAGCAAAGATAATCAGTTTGAGGATTAACATGTGCCTGACCCAAGCCATCTTATTTTCAATGGCCTCATATGCTTGTGAAAGTGGATAATGAATAAAGAAGTCTGTGGGAAAATTGATGCACTGGGGTAATGGTGTTGGAGAAGAATAGTAAAAGTATCATGAACTTCCAGAAGAACAAATAAATCTCTGTTGGAAAAAGTAAAACCAGAAAACTCCTTAGAAGCTAGGATGATGAGACTTTGTCTCTCACACTTTGGATATGCTATCAGGAAGGACCAGTTCCTGGAGGATACTGTGCTTGGTAAGGTGGAGGGTCAATGAGAAGACCCCCACAGAGATGGATTGACAACATGGTAGCAGCAGTGGACTTCTTGTTGTTGTCAGGTGCCATCGAGTTGGAACCGACTCATAGTGACCCCATGCACAGCAGAATGAAACAATGTCTGATCCTGGGCCAACCTCACTACTGCCTCCACACTCGGTGCCATCAATGATGCCACCTGGCTGATCCATTTCGTTAGGGGTCTTCCTCTTTTTTTCTGACCCTCCACCTTACCCAGCATGACATCCTTCTCCAGCGACTGTTCCCTCCTGACAATATGTCCAAAGTATGAGAGATGAAGCTTAGCCATCCTGGCCTCCAAGGAGCACTCTGGATGCACTTCTTCCAAAATAGATCTATTGGTTCTTTTGGCAGCCCATGGCACTTTTAGTATTCTCCTCCAACACCACAATTTAAAGGCATCAATTCTTCTACGATCTTCCTTATTCACTGTCCAGCTTTTTCACATCCATATGAGGTTATTGAAAATACCATGGCTTGGGTCAGGTGCACCTTAGTCCTTAAGCTGACATCTTTGCTCTTCAACACTTTAAAAAGTTCCTATGCAGCAGATTTGCCTAATGCAATACATCGTCTGATCTCTTGACTGCTGCTTCCACGAATGTTGATAGTTGATCCAAGAAGAATGAAGTCCTTGACAACTTCAATCTTTACTAAAGAGTAACAATTGTGAGGATGGCTCAGGACAAGGCCGTGTTTTGTTCTGTTGTGCATAGGGGCACTGTGAATCAGAGTCGACTCAAGAGCATTGAACAACAACAACATATCAAAATAAATCGCACGTAACATAAACAGTTGAGCAACACACCCTTTAAGACCTAGTTCAAAAGCTACCTCTTTCTGGGAACTTCTTTGCTCCCCATGCACATCCTACCTCACAAAAGGGAATTGGTTCACTCTCCTCTAACCTTTTCCTAGAGCAGTTTCTAGCCTTCCCTTAATATTTATTTTTACCATATACTTCATGCATCCCTTTTGTACCCCAGGGAAATATAAGCTCTCTAAAGTAAGGTGGTTTGCCCAAGGAGAATATCAATCAACATTTGTTGAATGAATTATGCTTTCTCTTTGACCCCCACCATACACACAAGAAAGACACACACCTACTACACACAAATGTTTTCACAGCAAACACCAGTCAACAATTAGCTTCAAAGTTTACCCATCTCCTATCCCTGGGTAATTATGAGTCGAAGTCCAATCAGTTGAGTAGAATCTCTTTTATTGAAGAGTGTGAACAACAGGTTCCCTTCAACTTAGTATAATGAAATAAATACAACTTTTACAGGAACTTGCAAAGGCCTCAAGAATCTGATTAGCACAGTGAACTTGTTTGAATAACAAAGCTCCTTTTGTAAGAAAAGTTGAATGTATTAGCTGAATTATCTTACTTATTATCAATTTTTCTCCAAGCAAGTTAACCTTAATCCCATTAAAGCTGAAGGGCATACCTTTAAATGAGGCTGGGCCAAGTTTGCCCCTTTCTGGCTGTTATCCCCAAAACCTCATGGTTTGGAGTAGTTCCCATCCCTGCAGCATAAAGAAGGCCCCTAGAACTGAATTTACTATTCAGATCATCTATCACCTGCACAAATGCTCTTCTTCATTCATTCATTTTGTACAATCCCACTAACATGAGGAGAAAGTTAATGTGTTAGCAGTTGCTCTTGGAAGACCATTTCTCTAGTTCTGTTGAGATTCCAGTTGATTAAGGCGCTTTACGATCATGCTGTTGATTTTCTTAAGATCATCTATGTCCTCTCCTTCAGCTGTCAATCTTCTTGACACATCATCCATCTTGCTCCCAGTTTGAACTTCAAAATGGAAAACAGACTAAGTTACATTAATTTCAAGACTATTCCATCAGGGTTCATCAGAGCGCCATATTGGGGCTCAGCTAAGCACTGAGAGAGACTGCTGGAAAACTCATGCTCCAACTTCCCACGCAGCCCTGAAGCCCAGGAGAAAGATAGATGAAGACTGAAGTTACCTACCAAATGAATTATGATTACAACCTCTTGGTGCCAGTCGAGACTACCTTTGGCAGCTCCACACAGATTTTGGCAGAGAAAAAGAGCTGTGAGCAATGGAAAGAAACTGCCAGCCTGTCTGATTATTCCTCCAGAGATGAATCTATGGAAAATAGTGCCTATGGTAAGCAATGAAATTGCATCAGACGTCCAAGCATCTGACACTTACCTTGAAAATAACTTTACCCTAATAACAGCTCAAGGACACAAGTCAAATTCAGTAATCTTTTATTTAACACCTTATGGCACTCCATGAAAATTACAACTGCATCTTCCTTGTTTTCACTGATGAAAATTGGTATATGATGTCCTCAAAGTCATTTTTTTTTGTTGTTTCTTCTGTTCTACCTGTAGCAGAGCAAGATCACACAGTCTGCCTTGACTCTTGTGAAAAGATTACCTTTAACTCCTAAGTGACCTCCCTCAGCTGGCAATGGAAACTGTGAGAGTCAGTAGGAGCTGCTCTGTGGCCACCCAATCAAGTACCAGACCTGCCACACCTTAGATCCCTGATTCTCTCAGAAGTGACAGCTAGATTGTCTCATTCTGAGATCCATTCTCAGAATAGGTTTTTCCACTCATTAGGGAAATACCTTTCTTTGGGTTCGAGCCTATTTTAATATATTAGTAGTTCTGCTGGTTCTGTGTTGTTGTTGTTGTTGTTGTTAAGTACCGTCAAGTCGGTTCCGACCGATAGCGACCCTGTACAGGGTTTCCGAGGCTGTAAATCTTTACAGGAGCAGAAAGCCTCAACTTCCTCCCATAGAACAGCTGGTAGTTTCGAACTACTGACCTTGCGGTTCGCAGTTGGATTCATAACCACTACACTACCAGAGCTCATATTACCAGCCCTTAATGAATTTGGGTCGGAATCGACTCTACGGCACTTAACAACAACAATGAATGTGGAATCCTGGTGTGGTGCTGTAGGATAAGTATCTAACTGCAGTGTCCGTTTGAAACACAAGCCAGTGGTTCAAATCCACCAGTCACTCCTTGGAAACCCTATACAGAGTCACTGTGAGTTGGAACTGACTCGACAGCACTTAACAACAACAACATATATTCACATGAAGTGCTGGTGTGGTACTATAAGATAAGCACTGGACTGTTAACCACAAGATCAGAGGTTCAAATCCACCAGCTGCTCCTTGGAAACCCTATACAGGTTTGCTATGAGTCAGTTCTGATTCAATGGCACTTAATAACAATAAATGAGGAATCATTTCCTTGAGATCACTGTTGAGAGTAGAGGCATATTTTCCAAATAAACCCTGAGAAAACAGTAGGCTTGAGACTGGAACACTTGGAGTTCTCCGTATCAAAGTGAAAATTTCCAAGTAAGGCAGCACAAAATCAGTACTTGATATTTGAGCTCCTTACCATTTCCACTTCAGGCAGTTTTTTTGTTTTGTTTTGTTTTTCCACCAAAGGCATCTTTGAGAAACTAAAGGCGTTGATAACAAGCTACTCGTTTTAGCTGATAAACTAAACTTAGTAGGTAAATTAGATGTTCAAAGGTTTACCTCCCAACCTTGAGACAGATTGGCCACCCAGCAATTGTTTCTCCCTCATGTCTGAAAATTATGCTGGCTGAATTATGGTACCAGGCATGATAAAGAACTTTAATTGAACTTTGCTACAGAGATAGAACTACCACTTGTTTCTGGGTAACAAGGTGAAGCTAGTTCATGCCATCTATGAATCCCACTGAGAGCAAAAGTTGTCCTTGTGAAAACAGAGCACAAGTCAAGTTCATTTACAGATGCCTTGTCCAACTCTTTGGAGCCCTAGTAGCACAGTGGTTAAGCAATAACTGCTAACTGAAAGATGGATGTTACAAACCAACCAGCTTCCATACAGATTTCAACTTTAGAAAATTAAGTTCTACTATGTACTATATGGATCTTTGGTAGCATAGTGGTTACAAATCGGGCTGCAAACCTCAAGGTCAGCAGTTTGAAACTACCAGCTATAGAATGGGAGAAAGATGAGGCTTTCTGCTCCCGTAAAGATTTACAGCCTCGGAAACCCTGTACAGGGTCACTATGAGTCGGAACTGACTCCATGGCACATAACCACCACAACCACTATGTCCTATAGAGTTGTTACAAGTTGACATTGATTCAAAGGCAAAAGATTTGTTTTGTTGCCAACTCTGGTTTTACTCTGTATTCAGATTTGTCTGAAAAGCACAAGAGCCTTTATCCTTATTTCAGGAGAGGCCATGGAGCACGGGCAACTCTAGTTTGACTTTCAAATCTGCCTCTTATTTATCTGATGAAACTGGAGAATTAGACACTAACTTGAGGCACTGAGGCAGGATTTGAGATAATGAATTTAATGTGTCTGGCACAGAGTAATTGTACATTAAGAAGACACTTTATCTATTCACATCTTCTTTCTGTTTCTTACTTAATACAACTTTGTCTTCAATATGTAGTGCTAGAGGCCAATAGACTTCCCTTGTAGAAATAAATCCAATTTATACAAGGGAAGTCTAATAAAAATTATACAATGCATGGTTGTTTTAGGTTAGGGAGCAGTGTCTTTGAGTTCCAATTTTGCATCTGTTAACTGTGTGACCTTGGGCACATTAATTAATCTCTCAAGCCTTCATTTCAACATCAGTAAAAACAGGATAAAAATTGATCCTACACTAGATGTGTGTGTGTGTGTGTGTGTGTGTCAATTTGTTGTGCTGTGATAGCTTGCGTGTTGCTGTGATGCTAGAAGCTATGCCATTGGTATTTTAAATACCAGCAGGGTCAACCAGCATAGAAAGGTTTCAACAGAGCTTCCAGACAAAGACAGAGTGGGAGTCACAGACTAGTTTTAAATGCTCTGCCGCTGAAAACCTTATGAATAGTAGCTGAACACTGTCAGATATAGTACCAGAAGCTGAAAACTTTATAAATGCAGCAAAACCTTGTCAGACATATCGTGCCAAAAGTAGAGCCCCTCCAGTTGGCAAGCACTCACAATAGAACTGGAAGAAAACTACTTAATCAAAGTAGAATTGGCAGTGATGAAACAAATGGAGTATAGCTTTCAGGACCTTCATTTGCTGATGAGGCACAACTCAAAATGAGGAGAAACACCAGAAAACATCCATCAGTAATAGAAATATGGAATGTTACAAAATATGAATCTAGGAAAATTGGAAGTTGTCAAAAATGAAATGGAAAACATGAAGAACCCATTAGTGAGTTACAATGGACTAGTATTTGGCTATTCTGAAACAGACAACATATGGTTTACTACACTGAGATCGATAAATCAGAAAGGAATGATGTCACATACCTCATCCAAAACAAGATTTTCTGATCTATTCTGAAGTAGACAGGACCCTATCCATATGACTACAGGGAAAACCAGTTAATACCACTATTAATCAAAATTACGCCTCAATCACTGAAGACAGTGATAATGAAAGTAAAGAATTCTACCAACTTCTTCAGAGTCCTTGTTGGTTTGAAATGCAAAGTTGGCCATTCAAAATCATCAGCCACTCATTGGAAGCCTTATGCAGTGTCCCTATGAGTGAGAACTAACTTGTCAGCACTTAACAACACCCAACTTCTTCAGTCTGAAATTGATCAAACATGCCATCAAGATATATTGATAATTACTGGTGATTTGAATGCAAAGGTGGGAAACAAAAATGAAGGATCCGTAGTTAGAAAATAGGGCCTTGGTGATAGAAATGATGCTTGAAATTGCATGATAGAATTAATTATGCAAAATCAAAGACATATGCATTGCAAATGCTCTTTTTAAATGACATAAAAGGTGACTATATGCATAGTCTTCACCAGATGAAATATACAGAAATCAAATTGAACACAAGTTCAATATCATCAGTCAAAACAAATCAGGGGAAGACGGTAGATCAGACTATCAATTGCTCATATGCAACTTAAGGCTGAGCTGAAGAAAATTAAAACAACTCCATGAGAGTCAAAATACCTTCAGCTGAAAATACCTGAATTTAGAGATTACCTCAAGAACACTAGACATTAATGACTCGACACCACAAGAGTTGTGGGATGACATCAAGAACATCATACAAGAAGAAAGCAAAAGGTAATTTAAAAGAAGGAAAGAAAGAAAACACCACAATGGATGTCAGAAAAGATGAGGAGACTGACTCTCCAGGGTAAAGATACTAAAGTGAATGGAAGAAATGAGGAAGTAAAAGAGCTAAACAGAAAATTTCAAAGACAGCTTGAGAAGACAAATTAAAGTATTACAACGAAGTGTGCAAAGACCTGGAATTAGAAAACCAAAAGGGAAGACAACACTCAGCATTTCTAAAACTAAATGAACTGAAGAAAAAATTCAAACCTCGAGTTATAATATGGAAGGATTCTATGAGCAGAATCTTGACTGAAACAGAATGCATCAAATGAAGATGGAAGGAATACACAGAGTCAGTGTACCAAAAAAAAAAAAACATGGTCTCTGTTCTACCATTTTAAAAGATAACATATGATCAAGTCCAAGCTTCATTGAAGGTATTGGCGAAAAACAAGGATACAGGAATTGACAGAATACAAATTGAAATGTTTCAGCAAACTGATGCAGCACTGGAGGGACTCCCTCATCTCTGCCAAGAAATTTGGAAGACAGTGACATGGCCAACAGATGGGAAGAGATCCATATTTGTGCCCATTCCAAAAGAGAGGTGACCCAACAAATTGCAAAAGTCATACAATAATATAATTAATATCACATGCAAGTAACATTTTACTAAAGACAATTTAAAAATGACTGTAATAGTCCATCAAAAAGGATCTGCCAGAACTCTAAAGCAGATTCAGAAAAGAAAATAGAACTAGAAATATAATTGCTGACATCAGATGGATCTTGGCTGAAAGCAGAGAATACCAGAAATATGTTTGGTTGTGTTTTATTAACTATGCAAAGGCCTTTGGCTGTATAGATCATGACAAACTATGGGTAACATTGCAAAGAATGGGTATCCCAGAACACTTAACTGTGCTAATGAGTAAACATACATAGACCAAGAGGTAGTCAGTCGTTCGAACAGAACAAGGGGATACTGAATGGTTTAATATCAGGAAAAGTGTGCCCAGGGTTGTACTTTTTTTCTCTACCATACTTATTCTATCTGTATGCTTAGCAAACAATGCAAGAAGCTAGATTATCTGGAGACGAACATGGCATCAGGATTGAAGGAAGACTTATTAACAACCTGCGATATGCAGATGATACAAACTTGCTTGCTGAAGGTCAAGAAAACTTAAAATACTGGTGAAGATCAAAGACCACAGCTTTCAGTATGGATTGAAGTTCAATGTAAAGAAAACAAAAATTCTTAAAACTGGACCAATAAATAGCATCCTAATAAACAGAGGAAAGATTGAAGTTGCTAAATATTTCATTTTAGTTGGATTCACAATCAACAGTCATGCAAGCAGCAGTGAAGAAATCAGACGACGTGTTGCATTAGGCAAATGTGTTGCACAAGACCTCTTGAAAGTGTTGAAGAGCAAAGATATCATCAGTTTGAGGACTAAGGTGCGCCTGACAGAGCCATTATTTTCTTCAGTTGCCTCATATGCATGTGAAATTTGGACAATGAATAAGGCAGAATGTAAAATAATCCATGTATTTTCATTATGACACTGGATAAGAATATTGAAAGTACAATGGACTTCCAAAAGAACAAAAAATTTGTTGGAAGAAGTACATCCTGATTGCTCCTTCCAAGCCAAGATGCTTCTCACATATCAGACATGTTACCAGAAAGGATTAGTCCCTGAAGGAGGGTATTATGCTTGGTAAAATGGAGGGTCAGATAAAAAGAGGAAGATCCCCCCGCTCCAAATGATGTGCATTGATACAGCAATGGATTTAAACAGCAATATTGGTGAGGATAGTGCAGTCAGGCAGTGTTCTGTTCTGTGGTGCATAAGGTTACTATGAGTTGAACTATCTCCATGGCATCTAACAACAACAACAGTATAGAAGTTGTAAGCAAGTGGATATTAAGTCCTTAGCACAGTGTCTTGTACAGAGTAAGCACCCATTTACAGCATCTGTTATTATCCCTTTTAATCATACTGCTTCTCATCCTACATACCAAGAGAGAGATAGGGAGAAGAGAGAATTCCCTTTGAGTTGCTCACGTTTCATGTTATTGTTGTTGTCATGTGCCGTGGAGTCTATTCTGACTCATAGCAACACTGTACCGGGTTTCAGAGGCTGTAAATCTTTACGGGAGCTGAAAGCTTCTTCTTTTCTCCGGCGGAACAGCTGGTAGTTTCGAACTGCTGACCGTGAGATAGCAGCCCGATTCATAACCACTACGCTACCAGAGCTCGTTTCATAGGCACTCCTAAAATGCCAGAGTAGTTGAACTCAGTCATTCCCCCAGATGGGTGTGGTATGGTGATATGCAAGCATTTATCTATTTTGGAACAGCACTTCACAATAATAATTTATGTACTCTTGCTAGTCCTGGAGGTTCTGTTGTTACACCACGTCAACTGATAAAAGGTACAAGATCAACGTTACATAAAGCTGGTTCATATTTTAGCTTCTAAGTGGAAAAGGACATTAGCTGGGTGTGAGAGAGAGAATGGTTAAGCATCCCCTCCCCACCAAGTCCTAACTCCTGAACTAGGAAAAGACCATCACATGGATACAAAGGAGTCTTTAGGGAAAGACAGTGGAAATGTCATGTGCTCTGCCCTCTTTCTTTCCTCACCACCACCACCACCTCTAGCTCCTCAAACCCTGAATGAAATGAAATTAGGCATTCCAAAGACTTAGGCTCCACTTTTCGTCTAGAATTCTTAAGGCTACTTTGCTGTTGTTGTTATGTGCTGTGGAGTCAGTTCCGACTCATAGCGACCCTGTATAGGGTTTCCGAGGCTGTAAATCTTCACAAGAGCAGAAAGCTTCGTCTTTCTCCTGAGGAACAGCTGGTAGTTTCAAACTGCTGACCCTGAGGTTCACAGCCCAATTCGTAACCACTACGCTATCAGAGCTCCTTAAGCCTGTAAAAAAGCATGGAATGGTAGAGTATCAGGGCTGAAGGATGTCAAAGATGACCCCTCCCTTGAATTACCTTCCACTCAGGAATGGAGACTATTCCAAACGAGCACAGAGTGTGAACCAGTGGATCTGACATGAGTTAGCAATGTCTGGAAGGAGTGGGGACAGCACCTTCCCCTGATCCACGGCAGAGAAAACCTAATGAATTCTGACTCATACAGAGAACTGCCCCAGAGGGTTTCCAAGGCTGTTTGTATATTTCTGGTAGCATAGTGGTTACAAATTGGGTTGCTAACCTCAGGGTCAGCAGTTCAAAACTACCAGCCATTCCAAGAGAGAAAGATGAGGTTTTCTGCTCCCGTAAAGATTTACAGCCTCAGAAACCCTATACAGCATTGCTATGAGTCGAAATCAACTCCACAGCACATAACCACCACCATGTATATTTCTGGGAGCAGATCACCAGGTCTTTCTCCCATCTCAAGAAGTGACTGGAGTGTTTGAATCTCTGACCTCTCATAGCTTAACCTGTGCCACCAGGGAATCTCCATGGAGGAGCTGTGGTGGAAAGCCTGGACCATTCCAGGATGCGGCATCATGACCCAGGACATGTTGTGTCAGGAGCTGACACCAGCCTGGGACTAAGTCAGTGCAGTGCCAAATAAGAAATACACCTCCCTCTTCACCTCTGGGCTTTGTACAAGCTCTCAGATGCTTCTAACTGAATTCTGGGGGAATACTGAAGTAAGAAAACTTGGAAGGGGGTTTTAAACTTGAATGTGACTACATTATAGACCTGAATAAGTGGAGAAATCAATCTACTGTATTGGATAGAGAAAACCTGGAATTAGCTAGAATAAGTGCCTACCATTTATAGGTAGTGTTTTAGAAATATTTAATGAGTTGTATAAGTTTGTGAACTTCAGACAATGAGGTCTTACCCAGTGGTTTTGTGCTCCAGTAACCCTCTCCCAGGTCTCCTCTGGATGGTGCAAATAGTTCAGAAGCTAGGTTGCTAAATGAAAATTTGGAGGTTTGAGTCCACCCAAAAGCACCTCAGGAGAAAGATCTGGTGCTCTACTTCTGAAAATACTTGTTACTGAAAACTCCATGGCGTACAGTTCTGTTCTGACACGCATGAAGTCAGCGTGAATCAGAATCACCTTAACAGAAACTGGTTGGTTGGTTGGTTGGTTGGTTGGTTGGTTGGTTGGTTGGTTGGTTGGTTGGTAACCCTGTCCCAGAGCGAGTGAATTCACTAGAAATTTTCAGTTAAGCTTTCATTCCCATAAAGCAGTTCTTCCTTAGAGGAGCAAAACTAAACAAGCAGCTACAAAGTTAAGTGCAAACAAGTAATGAAAACTTGTAGGTGTTACTTACTTATTAGGAATATCACGAAGGAAACCAGCACCAGGCTCACAATCAGCACAATTATCAACCCCACAAAGAACAAACGTTGGCTTCCAGTTCCTGAGTTAGGGCCAAGGGCTGGGATTTTTTCTTCTAGAGCTAATGTAAAACAAACAACAAGAGTAACAACAAAAGCTCCGCAGCACACAGCCTGTCACTAGGACTCAACAGTACTCCACTATTACGGTGTGACCAACAGAAATACCTCTTTCCCTCTGATGGTTCTAGAAAGTGACTTCTGTTTTAGGAATATCTTTGGACCAGGAGGTCTTTGTAAATTGTTTATCTTCTTCTATGTTAAGTACCATCAATTTGGTTACAAATCATAGCAACCCTGTAAAAGATTTCTGAGGAGCAATTGGTGGGTTTGAACAGTCGACCTTGCAGTTCAAACTGACCTTGAGGTCCAGTGCATAATACTGCAGCACCACACCAAGACTCCCCTGCCGCTGAGTCAGTTCCAACTCATAGTGACCCTGTCTAATGCTATTCAAAGCAGCAACATGGTTATGGTCGTCTCAGACTTCTTTAGAACAGTTCTCTGAAGGTTCTGGAGTGGTAAAGTTGGAGGGCATTGAGTTTTCTTTGGGGAGGGAGTAAAGAAGTTAAAGGTAAAGAGCGACAAAGGCCCTAATGCCCTCTTCTCAAAGTGACAAGGAGTGAAATAGAACTGGAAATGGAACACCTACTCTAGTTGGAGCTCTGGTAGCGTAGTGGTTACGAATCGGGCTGAGAACCTTAAGATCAGCGGTTCGAAACTACCAGCTGCTCCGCGGGAGAAAGATGAGGCTTTCTACTCCCGTAAAGATTTACACCCTCGGAAACCCTGT